CGTGACCAACACACGAGAATTATTGTTGATCCTCAAGAAAAACCCTCATCCTGGCTGACTACAAGAGGAAGACTACACCAATTATAACAAACATCAAAATGAAAGAAACGTTTAAAAATAGTTTACTGAATCTTAAAACATTACTCGTTGTACTTAGTATGAAACATCAGTTTAAATAAAATATATGAAACTAAAGACTCTTCAAAACTATCAATCTATGAAGTCTGTACTATACAAAGATTAGTGTTTGTAAAAGACCCACAATTCCTCAAGGGAACTACTACTAACAACTCATAGAAATGGAGTCCTCCAAAAGAAAGGACGTATTACTAAAAAACTGACGAGCAGATAAAATGATCTCAACAAACACTTGTTGAGGATCCTAAGAACCTGTATATACATCATTAAAAGATGTAGGTCGAATGATATCAATACATTAAATGTATGAGTATGTACTATAGCTGAATAACAAATAGCTGAATCAAAGGACTGCTTAGGTATAAATATATAGTCAACGTGGGAAGTCATACTGCATAAACAATGATGGTATATCTATATACCATACTACATAAACATTGATGACTTACTCGATTGTCATACTAAACATGTTTTTAGAAACACTTTCTCAAAATTCATCTTTAATTCCTCAAAATCATAGTTGAAAACTCAAGTTTTGGCTTTGAAAAGATTGTCAAGATTTATAACTCATTTCATAGGTTTATGCGCAACTATGGACATGAATGACTCAACTTAGGGATCTTAATAGCAATGTAAAAAACTCAATACTCTGAACTCAAAACTCAAGAACTTAGAACTCAACGATTTTACTCATCTCTATAATACTCAATTCGTATGGGTCATGATGAAATATATACATGAACTAATTAACTCCAAAATCATAATACATAACATATAAAAAATCAGTAATTAAGAATAGAATTTTAAAACTAAACATGAACTCAAAAACTGAAAAACTCAAAAACTCAAAAACTCAAAAACTCAAAAACTCAAAATCAACTTATCTCAAGAATACTCAAATCTTGGGGGAAATCCTACATTACTCTTCTATTGATTTAAAAGTCTATTTAGGGTGTGAGGAAAAACTATTCTGACACTATGATATCCTTATATACCTAAAAGAACAAGGTTCTTGAAGAAGAATTTTATTAGAAGCATTAAAACCTAGCTTGAAGGAGAACCATCAAGAAAACCTTTCTTGAGATTCTTGAATTAGTTTCTTTAAATCTCTATAACCAAAAATTACAATTTTCATTAGTGATTCGTAATTGTATGCAAGAATTTGAGTAAAAAAGAATGGAATTATTGGAGAAAGGCTCACCATGAAGAAGAATCTAAGAAAACATGGATAAACTCTAAAATAGAGTCTTCTACTTTTCCTTAGGATTTTTCCTTAGGGTTTGAGATAGAAGACAATGATGTTTTAAGATTTGAAAATCTGATTTTTCGGATTGTCAATTAGTCAAGAAATTTATTCAGGGGTTTCTTAAAGGTATAAAGATGAAAAAAAGGACCCTTTTTAATATTTTTCCATCGGTAAATTTGTCAGTGGACTGTATCAGGTTGCTAAAATGGTCATCACTTTTACTCAATATTTGGATTATTGCAAATTTGGTGGGTTGAAAAGAAAATTCAAATACCTTTAATTTGATTGATTATGGGACACCTAATTATTTGTGTTCTAAGAGATATAGTCGTTTGAAGTTGATCCAAGTAGGATCTTATATCTAAATTTAGTCGGTAAGGAAACTTTCAATTCAACTTTGTTCTAGGTATTCTAGTGACTTTAATTAATATACAAAATCATTGTTCTCTAAGAAATTGAAAGTTAACATAAGAACAATTAAAAATCACTCGGTGCAATTCTGTTCAAAAATTAAATATGGTTCGAGTCATAGTTTAAAATTTTTTGGGGTGTTATAATAATATTATTCTCACCCACCACATCAGAGCCACGTAAATGCCACATCATAACCATATAGGCACCACATCATTAATTTTTATTTGTTTTTTACTTATTCATCTTTTTTTCTTAATATTTTTTTTAAAATTAATATTTATTATATCAATTAATTAAAATCATAATGGCATTCCTCCTGACTAGTACCCCCCTATCTTTTTTCTTCATTGTTGTTCAATCTCTAAACCTTCAATACTTTCTTTCCGTCTTCTTCTTCTTCTTCTTCTTCTTCTTCTTCTTCTTCTTCTTCACTATACAACATTTTGTTTAAAATAACATCAAAGAAGAATATTCACTATAACATTCACATTGTCTTCTTCAAACCCTACCCAGGAATTCACCTTTTTTAAGAATGAATTTTTCAAGCTAATTTTTCTCGACAACTCAAATAGGAAATAAAGATTGCATATGAAAGTTGATACAAAAAATATAAATTCTATGAGAAATGTTTGAAGGGATCTAGAAATGAAAATGAGTCACTCAAAATACAAGAAAGCTTACATTTGCGAAATTGACATCAATAATATAGAACGAAATCAACATCAATAAAATGATGTTGGTATTGAATAACAGATTAGTAAAGGACTAGTGAAATGAAAATTGTGAATACAATTTAGGATGAAGATGGATGAGGAGGTGTTTCAATGGAGAAAGATGTGTATTTAGGAGGACAACAAAATGAAAAGAAAAAAATTAGAGAAATAAAAAAGAGGACCCACTAATTTCATTTACCTCTAAATAAGAAAATTTACGTATTTTTAAAAAGTTTTTGTAACATTCGCGAATTGAAAAAACTAGAAAGAGCTATAATTAGAAAAAATCATTTTTGAAAACAATAAAAAATCTAGATATTTGTATAAATTAAGTTAAGAATAAGTTTTGGGTCAAATTCAAATGAATATAATTCCTAAATCAGGATGAGTTAGATGTGTTTCGAATATTTAGAAAATATCATTGAATTATCTTTCCAATGCCTCTGAGTTTGCTCGATTCTGAGTTCGTATGAGTGAGATGTGCCCTTTTGAAGTTGGGTTATTTGAATGAAGTCCAATCCAGATTTTGGAAGAGTATTATGGTCCTTTCCATACCCTATTATTATATTTCGATTTTAGGATTTTAATAAGGGTCATATCATAAGTATATTAGTTTATACAATTTGAAATTCACGCTACGGCTTGGAGAAGATAGAAAAGAGGAGAAAGAAGAAGAAAAGCTCACGATTCGCCAAGATCGTGCGATTTGTTTGTGGGTTTCACCAAGGATTTCATCCTACAAGGTATATGTGACTTTAATAACGTTGGTTTCGTTAACCCAAGTGCAAACATATTTATTTCAGGGCAAATTTGTCCTAAACATATTAGAAGTTTGAATGGTCTCGATGGGTGTTCTTTAATTGCTTTCATTCTTGAATTCAGGTTGAGATTGAAGAGTTCTTGAGAGTTAATGACAATAAGTTACTTCGAGTTAGGTTCTTGTGTATATGATTTTGTTACATGATTCTAAAGTGATTTGAGGAAAAGAATCGGATTAAATTGATTAAGATCACAAAACGAGAGGAAAAGTTCATCAGTTTTTGCCCGAAGGAAGTCTGGCGCAACGCACCCTCATAATTCTAGGAAGGCTGAAATGGTTTGCCTTAATGGCTCTCTGATGTAGAGGGGCTGGTGCAGCATACAAGGAATGCCCTAGGTATGTTCGCCCCAACCCCATTTTCATCGTTTAGACCGTCTAAGTCCTTCCAAAGTATACTAACACTTCGTATTGACTCTAACTGCTCTAAAGTCTTCTAAAAATCTTAAAATCATCCGTAAAGATGAATCATAAACTTGAATCCGTAAAATTCCAATTTAAGAATCAAGTCAAAGAAGTTCATGAAGTTTTCAAAAGTCTTTCACAAATGTTTAATCCAAATATTTTCCTTATTTTTAAGATGTAAGTTTTAAGTAAAGCGAAGAGTAAAGAGTTGAGTTCATTTATTCAAAGATTATAGAGGAACTACGTATTCTCAAAATTTAGAAATATTGTCACTTTTGACCAAGAAAGGGAAGCACCAAGTCTAAGAGAGGTTTTTAGCTAAGTTTTGAGTAATTATCTTAAATCAAAGAAAGAGTTTTGTTTTACAGAACACATGATCTAAATACATTTTTGGGTGTAGTATTGAGCACCAATATAAGGACACAAGTTCACAATAACTCAAGTATCCATAAACCATGAAGCCATCATCGATACTAAAGGATCATACTTTTTAGATGTCTCCTTAAGTGTTTTTAGCATAGAATAGGGGATCCACCTAGTTAAGTCATTTTATATGGGAAAAGTATAGGACAATTCTGGCAACATGGACAAGATTTTGTATCACAACTTAGACTCATAGTGGTGGTTCTTGGTTAGAGAATCCTATACAATATTATTATATTACTTTTATGTAATTAAGTTGTTATTGCATTGCTTTAACATGTTCAGTTATTAAATGTTGTTTAAAATGTTTCTTATGAATAGCAGTTTTATTATTTTTTTACTTTGCGTTTGAGTTAAGTATTCATAAGTTGAGTAAACCCAAAGTAAGTGTTTATTTCAGATACTATTCAAGATTATGTTATGTTTATGTTTCCACTTGTGTACTCGTACATTCAATGTATTGATGCTAGTTGGCCTGCATCATATTATGATGTAGATAGAGGTAACCAGGATCAGCATCCAGCACCTCGTTGATCCAATAGAGCACTCAGAGTCAGTTGGTGAGCCTCCTTGATTTCAGAGGATCAATTTTCATATTCATTTAACTTTTCAGTTATTACGATGATCGTGGGTCCTATCCTGGCATCCTTCTTCTTTTTATAGGCTTCATAGACGCATAGTTATAGGTTTTTAGTATTATTCATTTCACTTGAATATGTTTAAGACTTGAGTTGCCATTTTGGCTAAGTTATTATCTCTTAAGTTATTGCATGAGTTATATTTCTTATGTTTAAGTCGTGTGCTAAGTAAGTAAGCTAGACCAAGGGTGTTCTTGGGGCCAACAATGGTTCTCCTGTACCGACCATATCCAGGATATAGTCTGGAAGTGTGAAAAACTTGGTATCAGAGTATGCAACCATTTCTTTAGAGTCCTAATTATCAGTTTGAAGTGCACCACGTCTATGATTAGGAGGCTGTAACACTTAGGAAATTTCATCACTTCTTTCAATCATATTTCGTGTGTTAGAGTTTAGCACTAATAATTTTCCTTCTAACTCGTGCTTGCGCGTGTCTTTCAGATAATGCCTCCATGAAGATCTCTAAGAGGTCATCCAGTTAGGAGAAATATTGAGGAACAAGGGGTACAAAATGCACCAAAAGCGCAAACTAAAGGAGAAGTCACCAATGCTGAATTTCGTGAAGCTATCCGGATGCTAAAGCAAGCGGTGACCAATCAAGTTGGACAAAGAGGATCTCTACAAGAAGTGGGTGATAGTTCGAAGATCCGAGAGTTCTTAAGGATGAATGCTCCGAGCTTCATTGGTTCGAGCACTATTAAGGATCTAGAGAATTTTCTTGAGGAGATGAAAAAAGGTATGTGAAGTCATGCATATTGTCCATGTTGATCAAATGGAGCTAGCTGCATATCAACTGAAGAATTTAGCTAGGACTTGGTTTGACCAGTGGAGAGATAAGTATGCACCATTTGCGGGTTAGTCTTGTTTTGAGGAGGCCTTCTTTGGGCATTTCTTTTGCCGAAAGCTGAAGAGAGGCAAAGGTACGAGAGTTTTTCACTCTTAACCAGAAGTAATTAAGTGATCATGATTATGGGTTGAAATTCACAGAACTATCCCATGGTTGTGGATATGAGGAATAGAATTAGCCTTTTTGTTGCTTGATTGTACTGTCTATCAAGAAAGGAGGGAAAGACAGTCATGCTAATTGAGGACATGGATATATCAAGGTTGATGGTTTATGTGAAGCACATTAAGGATGAGAAGTTGAGGGATAAGAGGAGTTTAGAAACAAGAAATCAAGGACAGGGAATGAATCCATGCAATAGAAGAGTAATGTGAACCGGTTCTTGTTCCAACAAAAGAAACAAGTACCTACTCTATCATATGCTGATGCAAATCTACCAACAAACAAACAATGGTGAGTATAATAGTCAAAATTCCCAGCATTTTAGAGCTAGACGTACACAGTCTCAAGGTAGTGTGGACAAGGAGGTAACAACTACTACGTGTGCCAGGTGTGGTAGAACTTATCCATTTAAGTGTCATGATAGCTCGACATGTTGTTTCAAGTGTGTACAAGAGGGTGAATTCATGAAAGAGTTCCCTAAGAACCAACAAGGTAATGGGAATTAGGGCAATGAAGCCCAATCTTCATCTGCTTCTCCACCAGACGTAGCTGCACCTAGAGGATCTATTTCTGATGCTAATAGAGAAGCAAACCGCCTCTATGCTATCGCTAGTCTTCAAAAGAAAGAATTTCTCTAGATGTTGTCACTGGTATAATCAAATTCTTTTTCTTGATGTTTATGCTTTGCTAGACCCAGGATAAAGTTTATCTTTTGTAACTCCTTATGTTGCTAAGTACTTTGAAATTCTTCATGAGAAACTTGAGCCCTTCACTGTTTCTACACCTATTGGTGATTTTCTAATTCTAGTTGAAACAGTCTAACGTGATTGCATAATTCATAAATAAAAAAAACACCAAACACCAAACACCATGGCTGATTTAGTATAGTTAGACATTATGATTTCATTCTAGGTATGGACTGACTTCATGCCTATTATGCATCAATCAATTGTTGAACTCAAGTTGTCAAGTTCCTGATTCCAAACAAGCTAGTCATAGAGTGAAGATGTAGTTCAGCAATACCTAAGGGTCTTTTCATTTTGTACCTTAAGACAAGAAAGATAGTTTCCAAAGGTTTTGCCTATAATTTAGTCCGATTTAATGACTCTAGATCTCCTATTCAGTCAATTTTAGTAGTTAAAGAGTTTCGAAAAGTCTTTCCACATGATCTACCCGTAGTCCCTCCTAAGAGAGAAATATAATTTTGTATAGACATTCTTCTCGATACTCATCCTATATCTATTTTGCCATATAGAATGGCACCATCTAAGTGAAAAGAGTTAAAAGAGCAACTGGAAGATCTCCTTGAAAAGGGTTTATTCGACCAAGTGTCTCACCTTAGGGAAATCCAGTCTTATTTGTGAGTAAGAAAGATAGTTGCCTTAGGATGTGTATATATTACCATCAATTGAACAAGGTTACCTTCAAGAATAAGTACCCTCTTTCAAGAATCGATGATCTTTTTGATAAGCTTCATTGTGCTTTTTGTTTCTCGAAAATAGATCTTAGATTAGGCTGCCATCAATTGAAATTATGGGAATGTGATACTCTAAAGACAACATTCAGGACCCATTATGGTTATTATGTGTTTTTGGTCATATAGTTTGGTTTAACTAATGCACCTACAACGTTCATGGAATTTATGAATAGAGTGTTCAAACCTTATTTATATATTTTCATTATCTTGTTTATCGATGAGGTACAAAACAATTTGAGGTATGAAGAAGATCATGATAGTCATCTTAGAGCCCTCAAACACTAAAGGACAAGGAGTTATACTCCGAGTTCTCTAAGATTGACTTTTGGCTTGAGTCTGTGGTATTATTAGGTCACAATGTTTCAAGTGATGAAATTAGAGTTGACACTCAAAAAATAGAAGTAGTGCAGAATTGGCCTAGACCTACATCTAAAACTGATATTAGCAGTTTGTTAGGGTTGCTTGGCTATTATAGAATTTTGTATAGTGAATTTCATCTATTTCATCCCCTTTTTGACCGACTTAACTCAAAAAACAGTAAAGTTTCAATGGTCTAAAGCTTGTGAGAAAAGTTTTGAAAAATTGAAAAAGTGGTTGCCTACGACCCTAACATATACCTTACCAGAAGATATGCAATGCTTTGTTGTCTATTGTAATGCGTCCAAGTTTGATTGGGTTGTGTGTTAATGCGGAATGGAGACGTTGTAGCTTATGCCTCCAGACAACTTAAGGTTCATTAGAGGAACTACCCAACCCATGACTTAGAGTTTTCTGCCGTAGTGTTTGCCTATAAAATATGGTGCCACTATATCTGTGGTGTCCATGTAAATATGTTCATCGATCACAAGAGTGTTCAGTATGTGTTTAGTAAGAAAGAGCTTAATCTCAAATATACGAGATGGTTAGAAATTCTCAAGGATTATGACATGAGCACTCTTTATCACACAGGTAAGGATAATGTTGTTGTTGATGCCTTTTGTAGATTGTCTATGGGAAATACCACCCATATTGAGGAAGATAAGAAAGAGTTAGCAAAAGATGTGCATAGACTTGCACAATTCATAGTTTGAATAATGGATTCCACAGAAGGAGGAATAGTGGTGATGAACGATGCTGAATCATCATTAGTGTCAGAAGTAAAAGAGAAAAAAGACCAAGATCTCATTTTTCTTGAATTGAAGGAAAATGTTCATAAGCAAAAAGTAATGGCTTGTGAACAAGGAGATATGGTGTATTGAGATATGAAGGTAGGTTGTTTGTACCAAGGGTGGATGAACATTAAGAAAGGATTATGGAAGAGGCTCATAGCTCTAGATATTCTATCCATCTTGGTTTAACAAAGATGTATTATGCCTTGAGTGAAGTCTATTGGTGGAGTAGTATGAAGAAAGGCATTGCTGAATTTGTTGCCATGTGTCCAAAGAAAGTTAAAGTAGAGAACCAAAGGCCCGGTGATATGGCTCAGACTATAAAACTTCTGGAATGGTATTAGGAGATGATTAATATGGATTTTATCACAATTTTCCAACATCACGTAGATAACATGATTCTATTTGGGTGATTGTCGACAAAATGACTTAACCAACCCACTTTTTGACAGTAAAGACTACCCATTTTGTAGAGGATTATGCCAGTTAATATATTCAAGAGGTAGCAAGACTTTATGGAGTTCCAGTCTCCATTATTTCAAATAAAGGTACATAATTTACCACGAAATTTTGGAATTCCAGAAAGACTTGGATTCGAAGATGAACTTGAGTACTACTTTTCATCCTCAGAAAAATGGTTAAGCAGAGCGTACTATTCATACCTTATAATATATGTTGGGGACCTCTGTGAGGCTTTATAGAACCAACTTAGTTAATCAAGCTATGGAGAAGGTGAAAGTCATTAAAGAGAGGTTAAAAATGGAACATAGTCGTCAGAAATCCTACACTGATGTGAGGAGAAAAGAGTTAGAGTTTGAAGTAATGATTGGGTATACTTGAAAGTGTCACCCATGATGGGTGTTATGAGATTTGGTAAGAAGGGGAAGCTTAGTCCCCGATATGTTTGTCCTTACAAAATATCCAAAAGGATTGATGATGTAGATAATGAATGGATCTACCACAAGAGTTAGCAATGATTCATCCAGTATTTCACATCTCCATCCTGAAAAAGTTCATGGGAGATCCTTCGCTTATCATACCAACTGAAGATATTCGTATCGAGGATAACTTATCCTATTAAGAGATTTCGGTTAAGATCCTATATCACAAAGTTCGCAAGTTAAGGGATAAGGAAGTAACATCAGTCAAACTTGTTTGGAGAAGAAAATTATTGAGAAAGTTACTTGGGAAGCGGAGGAGGATATGACGAAGAGATATCCACATCTCTTTGAGCCTGGAGATTTTCTTGTTCAAGGTACCTTTTTAGTACTCTTCAATTTATATGCTCATTGAATGTTTGATGTTACACCCTTATCCTAGTAATATTAATCTTATTCGAGGAAAAATGTTCCCAAGGGGGGTATACTGTAACATCTCAAAAATTGAAAGAACTAGCAAAAGCTAGAATCAGAAAGTGTCATTTTTTAGAAAAATGGAAAAGGGCCTAAAATACCCTTAAAGTATTAGAAATGGTACAAAATTACCCTTCATCCATCTATTTGCTCCAAAATACCCTTCCCACCCACCTATTTGGTCCAAAATACCCTTGTCATCCACCTTTTGGTTCAAAATTGACCACTTATTTAACGGTTTTATATTTAAACTATTTAAATATTTTTTAAATACGTGGCACTCAACTATTTGTTATAATTTAACTTATTAGTATAATTTATAAATCAATCCACTACCCACCCATTACTAATTAAACCCCTCTAAATTAATAAACCCGTTACATTATTAATGCAATAACAGAAAAACTATTGCCAATTGAGTGCTTTTTAAAAATTTGAGGCGAAAATATCTATAGAAGTAAATTATCATACATTCAAGTGTCAAAATAAAAATTATCTATAAATTTAAAAGTCTGACAATTTTCATCTTAATTATTTTTACGTCTCAATTATGTGATTTTACTTCATAGGTAACTTTTTTTCCAAATAATATATTAAATGTCTTAAAACAACTCATAAATATTTATAAAATTATATTTTAAAAAAGTGCATGAATTAATTTGGGATGTATTGCTTTTACCTTTAATAATAAATTTCTAATTCAATCTTGTAAGAGAATCCTATTGAAAGTATCCTTCTAAATAAGCGGCTCAACCTAAATTAAGTTGGGGCTTTGATTCGGCCTCGAATAATTTTGAATGTCATTTTCAAGAATCTATAATTTAATCGTTTTTAGTATTGTTTATGACAATTTTGATATTATAATTGGATTATTAATTGGGTGGAATTTAGTTAATAATGAGTGGATAGTGGGTTTATAAATTATATTAACAAAATTAAATTATAACCAAAGGTGGATGACAAGGGTATTTTGGAGCCAATAGGTAGATGAAAAGGGCATTTTGGAGCTAATAGGTGGATGAAGGGTAATTTTGTACCAGTTTCAATACTTCAAGAGTATTTTAGGCCCTTTTCCGTTAAAAGAATGAAAAATGTAGAAATTTTCATAAATCAAGTTAAGGAATTAGTTTTTGGTCAACTTAAAATAACTATATCTACTATATAAAAATTATTTAAGTATGTTTCCAGATACCATAGGAAAAACTGTTGAATTTTCTTTCCAACGCTGCCGAGTTTGCGCGATTTCGAATTGTTATGAGTGAGATGCCCTTTTAAAGTTGGTTTTGTTTGAATAAGGAAAATCCAACCAGGATTTTGGAAGGGTACTATGGTCTTTTCGATACCCTATTATATTATTTGGATTTTTTGACTTTAATAAGGATCAAATAAAAGTTATATCCTTTTCGATGATTGTAAATTCACCGTAGGTATTGGAGAAAAGAGTAAAGAGGAGAAATGAGAACAAATTCTCAAGATTCGCCAAGATCGTTCGATTTGGTTGTGAATTTTTCCAAAGATTTAATCCTACAAGGTATATGAGACATTCATAACATTGGGTTCGTTCACCCACGTTCCAACCATATTTATACTTAGGAGTTTTTGAGATTTAATGTGGATTATTAGAATTACATTGAGTTAGGTTTTTGTGTATATGGTATATGTACAAAATCTAAAGTGTATTTGAGAAAAAGAATCGGGTTAAATCGATTTGAGGTCGGAAAATAAGAGAAAAAGTTTGTCAGTTTTTGCCTGAAGAGAGGCTAGCGTAACGCTCCCTCTAGAGCAAGGAAGGATGGGGTGGCGCACCAGCAATGTTCTAGAAATGACTCTTTGATAGGAAGGGGCTGGCGTGGCGCACCAATAGTGCGCTGGGTCCGTCTTCCCAACCCGTTTTTTATTGTGTTCATGGCTTCTTTAAGTGTTATTACCTTTTATAAGTTGAAATAAAAACATCTTACCCAATTTCCCTAAATTTTTAAAGGTTTATCAGTTAGAGTATTTTTAAATTAAGTTTTGTTGATTTCTTCAAGAAAATTAAGCGACAATTCTTTTTCTATGTGTGTATATTAAATTGTTGTTGTCAAGTACAAGCCTACACCCATATGTGGCTAACACTCGAGAACACTTGTTGGCCCCAAGCTAACCCTTGTATTGACTTACTTACTCAACAGAAATCTGTAATACAAGAAAATATAATTTATGAAACAATATCATAGCCAAAATGACAACTCAAGTCTTAAACCGTAAGACAATAATAAAGTAATGACAAATGAAATATATAACCGACTATCTATCTATGAAGCCTCTACATAACTGAGATGGATGTAGGTACTGGCCCACGACGTCCTAATGAACTAATAATAAAACTGAAAGTAATAAAGGGATCCTCCGAAAACAAAGTAGCTCACCAAAAGCCAAAGGATGCTCAACTTTATCAATGATGCTGTATCTCGCTATATGAAATAACTAGGAAGAATCTTAGAAGTGGAAATTGTCATTTTCGGAAATAATGAAAGTCTCAAAAATTGTTTTAGGAAAAGTTGTGTATTGGTAAACTTCAAATGGTCATAACCTCTAGATCAGGATGATTTAGGTGTACTTGTAGATATAGTTGGAATGTTCTTGGAATAATCTATCCAACGTTGCGGAGTTTGCATGATTTTGAGTTCGTATGAGTGAGTCACGCCCTTTAGAAATTGGAATGTTGGACGAAGGAAAGTCCAATCCAGATTTTGAAGGGGTAGTTTGATGTTTTCCTTACCCTTTTATATTAATTCATTTTGATATTTAATCAGACTTCTAAGTTGAATTAGATCAGTTTACACTTTTACCAAAAGCAATAGGATTTTGAGAGAAGAGAAAAGACGAGGATAATAGAAGATAAGGGAGAAAAACGTTAAAGATTCGTTTCAATCGTTGTGATTTTCTTGTGGATTTCATGAGGGGTGATCCCTATAATGTATGTGAGATCACATAGTGTTAGGTTAGTGCACCCACACTCCAATCATGTTTCAATTCAGTGAAATATGCTTGATTTGAAAATGAATCCTTTAAAGTTCTTGTCGATATTGGTTTGAATTATTGTGGCTTGTGTTGTAGAAGTTTCTTGAGGTTTGCTTCATGTTTATGGGTGTAATTTCAGGTTGAATCCATAAGAAATTAAAGGTATAAGTGATTCTAAGTGTTTGGTGGGAACAACCATTGAATTTTAGAGGGTTCAGAAAAGATAAATGAAGGAGAAAATTTGGAGACTTTCAAGGCAAGGGCTTGGGACGTCGCGCCTGCCAGAGTGCAACAAAAGTTCCTCTGAATTATGGATTCTAGTGCGCAACGTCAGCTAGATAGACACATCTAGCTCTATGAACTTTGAGGGTTTGTGATCCACACCTCTTAGAGCGCCTGGGATGCTAATTCTCCCCATTCCTTCCCCACCTTTTCGTACTTGTTCCTTAGATATGTACCTACATTTCCTAGTTGATTTCAACACACTAAGATAAATATAAATATAATCAAATAATCCATTAACATGATATCATGAACCTTGAAATCATAATCCAATACAAGGAAATT